ACAGTCTGTGTGTAAGATGTAAACCAAGTTTTATGCTCCTGATAGAGATTGCTCTCAGTTAATTACTTACATCTGTTAAAACTTTGCCAGCAGTTCTTATTTGTTAATTACAAGAAAAGGTTAAACGTTCTGCCTGAGCTTAACTAATTAAGTACTACATCATGAAAGTGTATGGGGGAGTGGATGTATAGAAAAAAGTATTAAAGATGAGCAACGACATACACACAGGGAGCCTGCACGGAATAATACATGAACGGTGCTGAAAACAAAAAATAGCAGCTGCAGCACATGTAGACAAGAGCAGGTGTCCTTGGTATTTAAAACTTTAAATGTTAAAAATATTAAATTTTAAACTGGAATTCCAAAATCAAATTGACAAGCGTGTGTTGGCAAGATTTTAAACAAAACGGACAGGCTGATGTTTTAGATTTTGGACTATGTGCAGTGTGACAGCTACATAGTGAAAAATACACCTGATGGTGGCCCATTATGACCGAAACATGTAGTGTAGAGGAAGAAAAGACAAAGAACTACAACCAAATAAATTGTTGCATTCATGATGGCATTTGTGTTAATACATATAGAAGTATAGATCCATGTGTGAATTATAGTTTATTATAAAAATGTGATGTGCTCTTGAAGTATTCTTATATGAATATAAATGTTTTAAAAACTGGGTCTTGATTTGTTAGTATGAGCATTGTTTAGGTGAACTCATTCAACTGGCTGTCTGCTGGCAGTGCTGTGAATGGGTTTCAACTGAACAGCCCTCACACATGAGTATGTAGTTGATGTTGAATGTTAATATAAGTTTAATTACTTTAACCTTAGAGCGAGGGAGACAGTCTGATCTTTCAAAAGCAGCAGTTATTCAAGGAACATGCCAAGATATGTGCCCTGAAAAGGAACGTTACCAAAGGGAGTCCAGACATCAAGTAGCTTTGTATGAATACCTAACAGATGCAAATAAGGTAAGTATGAAATAAACGTGATTTTTTTTTTTTGTTTTCAAGAGAAAGATGTGTCACCTCATAACTAAAGAATGTCTTGGCCAACCACAAGAAAAATTCCGATTATCATGTGTTATATTGAATGGCCAGATTCCAAAATTTGAATTATTTTGCATATTATCCACTGTATATGGCTGATATTGATGTTAATTGATGATTATGTTACAATAATTTATTCTTACAGGAGGTGGTTATGGATCATGCACTTGCAGTGAAACAGTATTCCAGAAGTTCTGCTGATCAGGAAGAACCCCTTCCACATGAGTTAAGACCTCCCCCTATCCTCCGTATGACAATGGATTATCTTTTAGCAAAAGTCATGGATTGTGATGATAAAGAAGAAAACTTGGGTGACTGGTACCATTTCTTATGGGATCGCACTCGAGGGATAAGAAAGGTACATAATTATATAAGACTAAATTACTTATCAAATCAAACAAAATGGAATTTTCAGCCACACCATGTCCAGTTTTCTTGGCTGTTGTTTTAAAAGTATGTACATATGAATGAAGTTAAAGTTTTCACAGAGGTGTATTTTCTTACTGTTAGTAATTCCCTAGGTACTTGCATTAATGAAGTTAGGCAGTTCTTCCATAAATATATAAATGTCTCCTTTATTTAAAAATTCAGAAATAGAAAATTTGGTATCCAGCAATAGTTTTTCTCAAGTAATCTGTTAGTGCTGAGGAGGATGGTAGGTTATATGTGGCATGATTGAACATGAAGTGGAAGTTACATTTGACAGTAACATGCATATATATTTGAAATAAATGAAACACAGCTACACCTTAGCTTGGAACAAAATTATTAAGGAACAAATTGTACAACTGAGGAAGAACATGAAATATGAAACGATACAAAGTAGATCAAGTCTAATGAAACCAAAACAGACCACCAGTCGTCAACTATCTTGAGGCCTGAAAGCCCCCAGTTTATGGGGAGCAGAAGAAACTTTCCTCAGTAGACCAGGGCATAGCCCAAGTTCTCACTTGGGAGGAATACAGAGCCAAAACGGTTTTTGAACCATGGGAGAAGTCCTGGCCTGTGCAAGCACTCAGTTTGAGAACCAGGGTAGGAGAGAGGCAAGAGTAGGGTGAAGCATGTGCATGAGGTGTATATATTGGATTTATGGTCAGGCCAGATGGAAGGATGACAGCGTGTATTTTCCACATGATGTAGCCTCCCCCACAGCCATAGGTCTGGGGTTCATAAGGAGTGTAGACTTCCCCAAAAGCACAGTACTAGAGACATCAGCTTTCTGACACTACAAGTCTTTATGGCTGTAACTTCATAGTTCACATCTTCTTCAGGGACAGAGGGTGTGGTCCTGGGCAGATGTCTACCAACAGTCTGTCACATTTTCCTCCTTCACTGCACTCCGAGACAAAGATACAAGATACCAGTGACAGGGGGAATATCTTGCCAATGAAGATCTCAGAATATAGAGCCAGAAACTCATGCTGAGCATGACAGCCACATACAAGGTGCATTCCATGAGAATCATTCACACATGGCACATGTCATGTGATGATGATGATGATGATGATGTTGGAGGGGAAGGCCTAAGATTGCTGTATGAAACTCAAACATATGGGATTAGAGACCATAAGAAAATGTAAAAGTCAAGTAACAACAGTTAGGAATTAAATATATATAATTAGAAATAAAAACCAAACCAGCACATGCTGAACATGCATGTGGCCCAAAGCTGCTGTCTAAACGGGGTTGGGGTTCCCAGATCTAAGATCAGTAGTAGATCGGATCAGATCTTTAGAGTCTTTAAAGAAAGGACCCTTCCCCAAGTAATAGTAACCTAACATTGCTAGTCTCAGCTTGAAAGATGGGCTTGGGTGAAGAAATTCCTCAACTTGGGATGGACTAGCAGTACAGTGACTGGTGTAAGAAAGGTTTCAGTGCATAGGGGTTTGTGCCATCAGTAAGATAACTTTGCACAGATCTTGCATCTGGCATCATTGAAAGAATGTTGTTCCTGTAAAAAACTTAATCACCAAACTTGAAAGGATGAGGAATCCTACCCTGGTTATACCCTCTGGCAGGGACCTCATGATTATGGAACAAGCTTCAACAGACACTCCCCCATAGCCTGCGGATACTGCCTCTAGTGTAGGTACCCAGGAGGGAGGTCCAGACTGATGCTCTAAAATCTGTTATTCAGCTAATCACACAATGGAAATGTTATCACCTTCAAAGTGGTCCCTTCCCCAACCCCTGCACAGCTCTATGTGAATTTTCAACAGTTGGAAGCAATGCTGTAGGTCCTTTTCTGATAGCTTCTTCATTGCCTCTGTCGCCTATGTCTTCACTGCATATATGGACTCAAAAACAGGTTCCTTTTAATGCAGACTTGATCTTTGGAAATAAAGAAAAAGTCACACGAGGCTACGTCACGTGAGTAGGGTGGATGTTCCAACACTGGGATCTCGTGCTTCACCAGAAACATCTTGACAGGCAGTGTATTGTGTGCTGGCATGTTGTCATGGTGAAGAATCCATGAGCCCTTCCACATTTCAGGTCTTTTTCTTCTCAACTGTTCACAAAGAATTGTCAGAACCTCCTTATAGAAGACCTGGTTAACAGTCTGACCTTCAGGCACCCAATCATTGTGAACAATCCCTTGGATATCAAATAAATAATCATCATTGCTTTGAAATTTGACTTGGCCTTCCGTGCCTCTTTTTTTTCTTGGTGACCTGGGACTCTTTTAATGCATGGATTGGTGCATAGGTTCTGGGTCATACCGAAAAAACCATTAGTCATCACAAGTTATTACATTTCCTAAAAAGTTTGGATCATTTTCAGTGTTTTGAAAGATGTCAGCACAATTGTTCATTCAAGTTTCCTTTTGCTCAGGAGTGAGGATTCTTGGCACCGTCTTCGAGCACTTTTTTATGTTAAAATGTTCATGTAAAATCTCTCAAACTCTTTCTTTATCAATGTTAGTTAAGTCAGCAACTGCTCAAATGCTCAGGCAACAATTTTTTCGAACAATTTCACCGAATTTTTCAATGTTTGCATCTGTTTTTGATGTGCAAGGCCAACCAGGACATGGATCATCTTTGATCTCTCCCCTTTCCCTCTTTAAATCTTTTGAACCGCTTGAAAATTTGAGTATGGGATAGACATTCATCACCATAAACTTCCATCAACAAACTGTATGTTTCTATATAGGATTTTCCAAGTTTTGTGAAGAATTTCACACTGACACATTGCTCTACTTTAACACTCAACGTAATTCTAATAGAGCTCAGATACACGGTCTGCTTCAAACAAAGGTTGCTACCACACTGTTGGTCACATGTCCTTTGAAGATGTAAGGTAAGGTAAATTTCACACCATGGAATATCAGATTGAGATGATCAGTGGGTATTTGTGCACCTGTAGCTTTTCTAAAAAGGACACATTGTTATTGATACAAATTTCAGTCCATACAAAGTGCTGTAAGATGGTTTGATGCTTGCAACAGGGGAGTCTGACGATAGGCCTGATTGAGATCTTAGATGGTGAAATACCTTGCTTTAGAAAAGCATTTGTGTGTGGAATTAATTTGTGGCAGTGGTACTTACCAAGTAATTGTAATGGAGTTAGAGCAGTAAACTCTGCCACATCCAAAAATCAGACCGTCAAAAGTACAATGTTCCCACATTGTAACATTATAAATTTACTTGGGCATCTCCAGGTGGAAAGACGAGCAAATTGATATTTTGGCAGATAGGAGACAGCATACAAATGTGCTTGATGTCTCATCATTCAGTACAGCAGATTGTGATAATGACCACTACCTGGTGGTGGCAAAAGTTAGGGAGAGACTGGCAGTGAGTAAACAAACAACACTCAGATTTTGTGTGGAGAGGTTCAATCTCAAGAAATTAAATGAGGTAGAAGGGGAACAGCAGTTCTGGTTGAAATCTCAAATAGGTTTTCAGCTTTGGAAAACTTGGTTGCTGAGGTGAATATTAATAGAGCTCAGGAAACTGTCAGAGAGGATATCAACATTTCAGCCCAAGAGAGTGTAAGTTATTGGGAAATGAAGAAGCATAGGCCATAATTCAACAGTTGATGCTCAGAATTATTAGATCAAAGGAAACATGCCTAATTGTAGTGGTTAGAGGATCCAGGCAAAATAAATGGGGATAATCTGAACAATATATGTAATTCATATTCCAGCTCATCCTTAAACAGAACCTTTGGATTCATCATGAGTAAATGGCAGGCTGCTATCCATTGCTTCTGAGCATATGCATAAGAAAGTACAAAATATTATTACTGGTATGTAAAGAAGGGGCTCAACTAAACTGCACTTGATAGTGCTTGCAGATTTACTGAGAAGTTTATGTAAGCAGAGCACTAAATGCACTTTTGATTCATGTTTATAGACAGACCACTCTCTGCTACCACTTTAGACCACCATTCCTGCCTGCCTACTCTGTTTACTGTGTTTCAGATTATATTCGTTATGTTTAACAATAACTTGGATATATATTTGAATTAAACAGAACACAAATACTACTTACATTTAACACAGTTACAAAGGAACAAATTATGCAACTCAGAAAAACTTGAAATATGAAATGAAACAAAGTAGACCAAGTCTAATGAAACCAGAATGGCCCACCTATCATCTGCCATCTCTTGGCCCAAAAACCCCCAGTTTATAGGAATGCAACAAACATGCCTTGGTATACTGGCATATGGCCTGCTCACTCAGGAGGAAGACAACCCCCAAAAAGTTCTGAATAACAGGACCAGACAAGAATTTAGAGTGAACTTTGCAATTCATGGTCTTGCAAGCTGTCAGCTTGAGGACCAGCACCAGCTCAGGCAGAAAGACTAAGGGGAGGAGTGAGGCAGATTTAGAAGTATGCATGTGCACAAGACCCATTTACTGGATTTATGGTCGGGCCAGATGGGTCTGTGGAACTTCATTGTCACAGTACAAAGATTTTACATTAATCTGCAATAGTTTGAGAGTTATGGCATTTGTGCTGCCCTAGGCCAGCCATGTTTGCCATTTCTTTTCGCTGACACGTTTTTGAGTTCATTACAGGTTGATAGTTTGTCTTGGCCAGTGCTTAACTTTTTGAACTGCTCCAATATTTCTTATAATGGTGGATTCATATCTAGTTCAATTTTTCACACCAGTTGTATCTTTTATTTTGTTTGGAGCAATTATTGTCAGTAGGCACTTAAGGTTCAGAATTACTGGGCTTTCAGAGTCCATTGTCCAGTGTTCTGATACCTAGAAAACACAACGTTTCAGAAACTGGATCTGTTTCCATTCTCAGGTAAAGGGGATAGACTGTTTGGTCCCTTAGAAAGAGGCAACCTCAGTCACCGGACAACCCATGTGAGTTTCACTACAGATACGGAAACGCCTGAGGCCAGGTTTTGTCAAGGGGAGATAACAGGGAAACCTGCTAAGGTTGAGGGGGAAGTATAGAAGCTCTTTTCCAAACACAAAACTACTCTTCCTACTGATCTAAAACACAAGTTGACTCCATACCACAGCAAACCTCCACGTCTGTATGGTCTTCCCAAGAGTCACAGAGTGGACATTCCTCTGAGGTCTATAGGGAGTTCTGTTCATTTCGCTTGCTGTGTTTTGGCCAGTTTAACTCTGTGAGATACTGAGTCCTCTTGCTGGAGAATTGAAATCCTTCGTTAAGAATTTGGACCACTTCGTACATTTGTTGAAGTCTACAAATCTTCAATCTCTAGATATCCTCGTTAGCTTTGACATCAGTCTTTTCACTAATGTACCAGTCAACGAAGCCCTACAAGTCATCAGAAACAAGCTCCATAACAGTGTCACACTGGCAGAACAGTCTGTCTTGCAGGTCCAAGCCATCATGGAGCTGCTGGAGGTTTGCTTGAGAACCACTTATTTTCAGATGGATGACAAGTTCTTCCAACAAAAATATGGCATGGCTATGGGTACTTCTCTTTCACCCATCATTAGTAACATCTTCGTGGAGCATTTTGAGAAATTGGCTCTTGACTTGACACTGCACATGCCATCGCTTCTCTGTGGTGCATTGATGGCACATTTGTGATCTGGGCTCATGGTCCAGAGTGGTTACAGAATTTCCTCAGCCACCTCAGTAGTTTAAGGCCTCCATCCAGTTCACTATGGAAATAATGTCAGACAGTGCAGTTCCCTTTTTGGATGTTCTGGTTATCAGGAAGGAGACAGCACTGGCCACCAAATCTGTCTACAGGAAACCCACCCACACTGGTCAATATCTCAACTTCGGCTCTAACCATCCACCACATGTGAAAAGAGGTTTGATTTGGAGTGTTCACAATAGAGCTTCCACCATATATCAAGAATGACAAGATCGGGTTAATGAAATTAGCAACCTGAGATGTGATCTTCAGCTCGGTGTTTATCCCCAAGGTTTCATTGACTTGGTCATTAATTCCAAGGGCAGCTGTAATCCAAATAAAGAGGAAAAGCCTCTGGACTCTGTGTATATTCCATGTGTGAAGGGTGTTTTGGAGAAGTTCAAATGTATAGGGAATCAGTATAACATTAGGATGGTCTTCAGAGCTGAACCCAATCTTAGGAATTCAGTCATGAAAACCAGGCCATAAAAGAGATTCACAACAGGCAGCACAGTACATCTGTAGCACTCCCCGTGAATGTGGCCAACGCTACATTGGCAAAAGAGGCAGACCTCTATCCATGCATCTCTGTGAACAAAGGCACATTCTCAAAGATGGTCTTCTAGAATAATCAAAATTAGCCCAACATACCTATAAAGAGGGTCATAGGATAGTCTGGGATGAAGCTAGGTTTTTGGAAATTGAAAGTCACAGCAGGTACAGGAAATACAAGGAATTGACCTGTATGGCATGCTCAGCCAATCTGATTAGACAACCCAGTTTGGACATTTCTCCCATTTGGATACCCCTTTTGCAGCCATGAGGCTACCAACTCAGAGAAGATCTATATGACGTGACGGATTCTTCATGGGTTTCTACAAGGTTTTAGTCTCGAATGTTCAGGTTTTACTCCACAGATGATGCTAATGGTAGGAACTTTATGTTTTCACAAATTCTCCATTTAATTCTATGAATTGGTGTTTATAGACTTGGTTTCTAGGCTAGATTTGTAGCATAAATTGCTACCTCCCTTTCTTGTGCATGCTTTATCACAAATTTTATTACATGTTTTCCTGTTATCTGTCTTTGACATAGCCTGGTTTCAGGTATTTAAATAGCTGTAGTTGTACTCAGATGGGTTGTTCAGTGATTGAGGTTAGCTGTTTCTAACAGACCCAACTGAGTAGGTGTCTCCACCAACACCTGAGAACGAGAACAGATCCAGTTATTGAAATGCTGGTTTTCTAGTTTTTAGAATACTGGACAGTGGCCAGATTTAAAAAACCCAGTAATTCTGTGTGTTATAAATCATTGTCAGAACCCTTTAGAACCCAGTTCAGATCTTGATGTCAGCTTTTTTTTTTCTCCTCGTGTGTTACATCATGTGACACAGCACTGCCTTCTTCCTGCAGCTTGCATGGAAGTAACTTGTGAATTACAAAACTTTCAGCTTCATGTATCTTTCTCGACCACCCCATTCCACTTCTGAGCTCACAGTGAGACCAAGACTGTGCTCTCCTTGTCTTTCACGCATGTTATAACTTTGAGAATGTTCAGCTCATAATGTGTACCAGGTGATTCTCTGCTTTTCTGGAAAGAATACGAAAAGGGGGATGGAGATTATTGAGGTTTTGAGAGAGAGAGAGAGATGCATGTGCTGGCCAAGCTTCTCCTCATTTAGTCCAGTGTCACTAATGTTTAATTGTATGTATAATGGTTGTTAATGCTGAGTGATTTTATCACTGTAAATTTTGAAGAATTTGTTATTTTTTCTGTTTTCTCTGCCAGAAAATATTTATTGCCGTCACATTTAAAATATTATTTTTTCATCGCTCCAGTGAAGGTCTACTGTGCTAAAATTTCTTTCTTATAAGACAGTGTTTTGTTTGCGTTTGCTAAAACTTTCAGTTACTTAAATGGAGTCCCACATTCATTTTTAGCCTACATTCCTTATTTGTAAAAAATAAAAGTTAGATTATGCAATTACCATGCTGTCTGTATGCCTCTGTAACTCTCCCCTCTCAACTTTTGAATGGGTGAACCAGTCTTTATGAAACTTGGTGTAAATATCATGGTATCTCAGCCCATCTCAGTAGCATACTTCACAAATCCCTCCCATCAGCCTGTGTGTCTAAATGCATATCCCCTTATGGTTGCTAGGCAATGGATCAGTAATGAATACGCATGCAGCAATAGAACTGTTGGATGCATCATTTTCTATGCAATCTGTATTGTATCAGAGGAAAGTAGGTGATTAGTTCTTCCCAGAACTTCTTGTTAATTTTCTAAGATAGACTTATGCAAAGGTTGTAAGTCCTAAGTGGTTGTTGGTACATGTATTAGGTTTGAACCAGTAAATACCCTAAGAAGGCATACTGCATGACACCAAATTTAAATTTCTGGCTGAGATATTCATATATTTGTGAGAAACTGCCTAAATTCATTAATTAGTATCTCAGGATTTATTAACAATAAGAAAATTGAAACTCTGGGAAAATTTCTGCTTTATGGGATATCTACATTTAGAATAAAAATCATAAAACTTGGTGGTGGCATGGTTGATGGCATTGTTTGATTTGACATGGAATGATTCATCTTTGTTTATTGCCCTGCAATTGTTCTGTATCATTAACATTTACTAGCGTAAAGCCCAATGTAATTACAACAAGAAAGTGTTGTGGTTATCAGCATAATTATTGAGTTTATGACAAAAAGAACTACCAAGAAAATAATTTCTGAATGCATGCAGTATGTTATATTTTAGCGTCCTGTTGCACTAATTTTCATCCATTATATGTATACAGTGGTCGTCTTGTAGTGCACACAATTTCACCTGTCACTTCACAACATGTTTCGGCAACACAGTGCCATCATCAGGTGTCCCAACTACGTCAATCTATTGCATTGCCTGCCTTCACATGTTTTCACCAACCATTTAAAAAGTATTTAAAAAGTCCGTGTTTGTCAACTTTGATAAATTTACACTCGCTAAAACTTGTTAAGATAATTCATCTTATGTAAGATGATATGATAAGATCATCATGATGATCAAGATGATTATGATAAGATGAATTATCTTAACAAGTTTTAGCGAGTGTAAGTTTATCAAAGTTGACAAACGCGGACTTTTTAAATACTTTTTAAATGGTTGGTGAAAACATGTGAAGGCAGGCAATGCAATAGATTGACGTAGTTGGGACACCTGATGATGGCACTGTGTTGCCGAAACATGTTGTGAAGTGACAGGTGAAATTGTGTGCACTACAGGATAAGATGAATTGTCTTAAGTTTTAGCGAGTGTAAATTTATCAAAGTTGACAAACACGGATTTTTTAAATACTTTTTAAATGGTTGGTGAAAACATATGAAGGCAGGCAATGCAATAGATTGACGTAGTTGGGACACCTGATGATGGCATTGTGTTGCCGAAACATGTTGTGAGGTGACAGGTGAAATTGTGTGCACTACAAGACGGCCACTGTATACATATAATGCATGCAGTATTTTTTGCCTATACAAACAAACTTCAACAGAAATACCTAATCTCGGTAAGCTGAAAAATTCTGACAAAAAGATACCTACATTTATACTGAAATACTAAAGATAGAGTGTAACATGCAATAAGCTATTGAGAGGTATGCTAGAACACATGTGACAAAGAGAGACACTGTACTGAGTCAAGCATGACTCCCACTGTTGTTTACTGCTGCCTTCTTTTTCTCCTATTTTCAGCTACAATTGACTGACAGTTAACATGTATAATGACAGAATAACAGCTGTTGACCTTTTGTACATAAGGAATCACTTGTAAAGTTTAATTTTGGGGGTTATGGAGCATGCAGAAAGTCCTGGACCTCACACAGAAAGACAAAACATATTGAAATATGTAATTTGTATTCTTTGCTCAGAACATTTTCTCTGTATTTCTCTATCAATATATTGCATGGGCATGATGATTTCTCTAAAACTGAAATATTTGTGTAGACACTGTTTATAAAACCCCACTTAGAATGTGACTTTTGGCTTTTCCTAGGACATAACACAACAAGAATTGTGTGATATGGATGCTGTAAGCTTAGTTGAGCAGTGTGCACGTTTCCATATCCACTGTTCTGAGAGGCTTGTGGCAGAAGATACAAGTGTGTTTGATAACAAGATCAACTCAGAAAATCTGACAAAATGTTTGCAGACTTTGAAATACATGTATCACGACATGTCCTTGAAAGGGATTGCTTGTCCAAATGAAGCAGAATTTAGAGGCTACATCATACTACTAAATTTGAACGACGCAAATTTTTTGTGGTATGTATTTAAGTTTATTTTTTTTTGTGTGTGTAGGAAGATGTGTGGTGTTTTACTCCGATTTGGTGTTCTGAGAGTAATAGAAAATTTTTAAATTGTGAGGCATCAGGTAAAATGTAATAACTACAAGACCAGAGATTCTACCCATCATGCCATATTGACCAATTTTGTGTTTTGGTTTGAGATTGATTAGATTGGCTACTTGACAAATATTTAGCATTATAAAGTTTTTATACTGTTTTGTGTTACATTTATTTTGGATTAACATTAGTGAACTTCATTGTATTTCTGACTACAAGTAATGGGTCAGCAGAACTGTCGGTAGTGTCCTTGAATCACTTGAATGACTGGGGACTCACCAACTATGCAGGATACTGTCATGTTCAGCATATTCACTAAAAGAGTATAGGCCTCTTTCCTTTGTATCATTATATTCAGATATTTAATTTTAATGTTTTCCTTTTAATCAGTTCTTTCCCTGCATACACTCCTCACTTCCCATGTAGATTGCCAACTGTCAGATGTGTATCCTTGTCATTTCATAATTATAATTTACAGCAGTCTTGGAATCACTTGTTGCTTGCTTTTAATGAAAATAAATTATTCTTTGCAGTTAATGACTAACAGGTATCGGTGTCCATACGTGCACTCTAACTTGTTGAGACAAGATAAATTGCTGGAGAGTTACTGTATGTAATTAACTCCAGGGTACATCTCTCCTTCCTTGAGCTATTCAGACACTCAAGCAAATCCATGACTGTATGGTACCCCAGGGTTTGGTCAGTGTGGACTGAGCAAATTGGTTCAAACAGTAATGCTTGTATTCGTGACACTATCTCTCATGGTTGAGAGGACATTTTTTGTAATTTCCTCAATCCTTGCAGGCTGATTCCAGCACCATACCTCCACATTCCCTGGTTCATTATACACTGATCATGCTGTCATCCTACACTGTATTGTGCAGTCTAGATTACAGACAGCACATTGAGTGAATCACAAGTAAAAGATGTCATTACTGTGATCACCAAAGTACTTCGTCCTGAGACGGTTTAATCGAGTGCATGCTTTTCAGATCCTAGTTGTTAAAAGTCACTTTAATTATCATCTTCCTATATGTGTCTATGTCTCCTTTTTTCCCCCTGCTCAGGTTTAGCAGTCACAACATCCCCTTAAGCCCTGCATTCTCTCATGTATGTTCCATATCATATCCTGTTATCTCTTGATTTAATCACCTTAACATTGTATGAAGCTATTCATTATTTGACTTTTTGCAGGCATTTGTTACTTCTTTCTTAAGTCTAAGTATGCATCTTAAATAGTTATTCATAGATGTTTTTCTGTTTACTATGCATGTAAATTGTAATAAGTTTAAACTAAAACTCTTCATCAGGTAAGTGTTGGATTAATTTAGCATTTCCTTACAAAACCACTAGAAATGTTGTTTTGCTTCATATCAATTTTGAATAAGTTTTGTTGATAGTTGTTGTTTTACATCATCTTTTTGTTGCAGGGAACTCAAAGAACTAAGTGCAGAAATAATCAATTCTGAACCAGTAAGATTTGCTGTTGAGGTGTCTCTTGCTTTGAGCATGGATAATTATGTTCGATTCTTTAAGCTAGTAAGGTACACAACATACCTAAATGCCTGTATCTTGCTGCGGTATTTCTATCAGGTCCGTTCCAAGGCTCTTTTCTCAATTCTGAAGTCACATTGTTCCAGGAGCAAGCAGTCTGTTGTGAGTATACCTCTGGGTAATTGGAAAATTCTTGCATTTTAATCTCTTAGTCATTACTTTCTGTGAATTAGAATTTCAGGCTGTCTAATAAATAAGTTTAATTTAAAACATTTAAATCTTTGAAGCAGTTTTTGGGTATGTTTATATATGAAAAAATAGGTAATATTTGTTTATGTTTATCTCCTTAAAGCCTGAGTATTGACAAATGAATATTACATTCATCAAGGAAGAACTTATTAATGTAAAAAGTAATATTTTATTTGCTATTTACTAATGGTAAGTTTTGGAAGGAAATGACCTTCCTTTTTATGATTTGTTTGCCCATGGTACCTGTAAAAAACATTTGGAAACATTTTGCAAATCATGAAGAGAAGGAAATTTTTCTCAATTTGATACTGTATTTTTCTGTGGATTAAAATATACTACTTAACCCTCATGACAAGTTGATTGATGCTAATGTTTCCATTCATTAACTAACTAACTTCATGGAACTGATCCCTTCTTGAGAAGCTCAAGAACTTCCCAACAGTTTATGGAACCTGTATGTAGGTTCATTACCGTGTTCACAAGAGCCCTCCATTGGTCCCCATCCTGAGCCATATCAGTCCAGTCAATACCACCCCATCGTATAAAATCCAATTTAATAATATCCACCCACCTATGTCTTGGTCTTCCTAGTGGTCTTTTTCCTTCTGGCTTTCCCACCAATATCCTATATGCATTCTTCTTCCCCATTTGTACTACATGCCCTCCCCATTTCACCCCTCTTGACCTGGTCATTCTAATTATATGAGGGAGTCGGTAAATAGGTTGCAAACGGATACAAAACATAAACATGTGATATATGAATGTGCAAAAACATTTATTTCTCATCATATCCTCCACCAACATTGATACACTTATCCCTTTGCTTTATTGGTGTGTCAAAACCCGCAGCATAGAAGCCTTTTGACTATTGTCTCAAAGATTTCCACACCTACATTTCAACCTCTTCATCATCAGCGAAACATTTGCCACCAAGGTGGTTTTTTAGTAAGCCAAACAGATGGAGGTCACTAGAGGCCAAGTTTGGGCCGTTGGGTGGATGTCCAAGAATTTCCCATTGTAGTTGTTGAATTCTCACCTGGCTTGCTCTGGTTGTATGTGGTCTGGCATTGTCATAATGAAGCAGTACACCTCTTGCCAGTTGGCCTGGATGTTTTCTGTGAGTTGAATCCTAAACCTTCAACAGAACTTCACAGTAGGATGCAAAATTCACATTTTCATCACATTTCTGAAAATGGGCTAACATTACTCCCTTAGAATCCCAAAACACCTTCCCATCTGATGGCTTAACCTGAAACTTTTTGTCTGATGGTGAACTGGAATATATCCATTGCATTGAAGCATGTTTTGGTTCTGGTTGGTAGTGATGCACCCATGATTCAACCCCAGTAACAATCCTGCTAAGCATTTCTTTTCCTTCATCTGCATACTGTAGGAGATGTAAGGACAGACACATTCAGTTCATTTTTTCTGAATCCTTAAGTTTCAAGGCACTCACCATGTGCATACTTTTCAAAACATCAAACAGTCATACATTATACTGTATGCTAAACCATAGGAACACCTTACTGAAGTGACTACGCTGCCTGTTCTTAACTGCCACACAGTTCCTTCTATTGTAATCTCCACAGGGTGACCTGATCGGTGTTCGTCTGCAACTTCAAACCGTCCTTGAGAGAATTTCTTGACTCAGTTGTGAACCGGTTATGACAAACACTTCCCACCATAAACAGGAAACATTAAATTATGAATAAACATTGAATTTAGTCCTTTTGCCCCCCCCCACCCACAAAAAAGAAGAAGAAACACAACAGAAAACTGATCTTCAGTAGTACACTCTTCAAGCACAGTTGCCATTTTGACTACTGAAACCAGCCTCTGAACATGTGCATGCACATCTGCTACCTAGTCTTCTTTTTTAAGTGTAGGAAAAAACATTGTAAATACAAAAAATGCCTAGGCAATGCCCATCCGGCCTTCTGTAGCACGCTCTAATAAACATCTTCTATAATAGTGGTAACCTCACGAATGTTAATATAGATCTTGACTTAAATCTGTGAGTATACTGTAAATAATGAGTACAATTACTTCTACTTTTTTTACATATCTGTTTTATATAAATATAGGAATGTTGTTTATGAAGTAACAGACACCTTGCAGAAATCTTCTTTCTTCTAGCCTTAAGAGCTCTGTAACTGGTTTTAGGTAATGCTTTCTGCTGTTCTCAGACAAGATGTCCATCATTGTTGCCCGTTGGTCCTCTTACTGTTTAGAGTCCCAGAAGATATGTTCCTCTGTTTGCAGCCCATCACCACATCTGCATTCAGCCGTGTACACGGTGTTAAATCTGTTTAGGCTTGCTTTAAGACTGGTGCGTTCCGCTCTCATACAGTTTACTGACACGAAGGCACAGCGGTTCATTTTTATCTCTCAGAACCACGCTACCTAGTCTGTCATGAGGATGGACTGTGCTGCTACCTAGTGATTTACTTACTTACTCACTCACTCACTCACTCATGGAGCTGAGCCCTTCTTGAGGAGCTGCCAATTCTGCAGCTGCTGAAGAATTTTATCAGCATTTTATGGAACCTGAAGGTTCATTACCGTGTTCACAAGAGTCCTCCACTGGTCCCTGTCCTGAGCCAGATCAATCCAATCCATACCATCCCATCTTATCTCTCTACGATCCATTTTCATATGGTCCACCCACCTATGACTTGGTCTTCCATGTGGTCCATTTCCATCTGGCTTTCCCACCAGTATCATATTTGCATTTCTCTTCTCCCCCATTCATGCTACATGCCCTACCCACCTCATCATCCTTGACTTGATCGTTGTAATTATACTTGGAGAAGAGTACAAGTTATGAAGCTCCTGATTATGTAGTTTTCTCCAACCTCCTGTCTCTTCATCTCTCTTCAGTCCAAATATTCTCCTCAACACCCTCAGTCTGTGTTCCTCACCAAGTTTCACACCCATACAGAATCACAGGCAAAATTATAGTTCTGTATATTCTAATTTTTATGTGTTTTGACAGCGGACAAGAAGACAAATGGTTCTGAACTGAATGGTATCAAGCATTACCTGAGTTCAAGCTTCTCTTATTTTCATCCTGAATCAGGTTTTTATTTGTTATAGTCGTTCCCAAATATCTGAACTGTGCCACATTCTCAAAACATCTATTACCTGTCTCTATGTCATGATTTTGCCCTGCATTTCAGTGACGAGACAGCAACATATCAGCCTCTCATCTGTTCCCTAAAAAACCCCCCACCCCGGGACATGAAGCCAGATCCACAAGGCTACACAGGCCATGACCGACTAACATAGCAACCCCCACCCCACCCCCCCACCTTAAGGATTAGTGCCCTCCCTTTAACCTTGCCTTTCTCTCCCCCTGAGACAATATCTTATACAAAACCCTGCTTCTGTTCCCAGTCCCTTCCCCCCCTCCCACTCCACTGATTTCCCATGTATACTTCCCCCCCCCCTCCCTCTCCTCCTCCCCCCTCGCTCTGTTCTTTTCCCACACCA